AGGAGTTATTGTTGAATTAATGATTTTGTTAGTAAATCTACAAAATGTTTGTTATAATTACAAACTACTTAATCAATTAGTTAACAGATTACAGTTGGTTGTAAACTTACTATTATTATAAATAAATTTAGCAATTTTTCTTGCAATACATAATTCAAATGTATAAAATAATTTTGTCAATATACATTTTTTATTGTGCCCTCTATCGGGTAAGTAAAACGCCTAATAGACAGTGCCTATTTAAAAAGTTGTTAGTATATAATCTGTTGGTGTATTAAGAAAGTTTTAATGGTTATGCTTAGGGAATCCCCAAATTACATATTGTGAAACAATGCAGTGCAACAAATACTCCGTGTAGAAATTTACGGATCTAGACGTTGAATCGCCCTGGATTCTAATCCTAAACGAAAAAGCTTCATGAAAATATATAATAATTTTAGGGTTAGTAATTTGTTTTCTTTGTTGGGTATAATAGGCATGTTTTAAGCAAAACAGTATTGTTCGCCAATAAATCAGTACATAATAGCAACCCCCTGACCACCCAACCCAACCCTTATCTATGCATAATAGTCGCCTATAAAGCTCTGATCAATTTGACACAATCAAGTAAATAAAATGGGTTAGCTTAAAATAAATTTGTAAAAAAATGTTTTGATGTTTTTTACTGTTTTCTATATTATAATAAAATATTTTATTAATCTTGTATTTAATTTCTTTGTCACTCAGCTATTCGTATTGAATGATATATTGAATGTCATAAACATTTTAAGCAAAAAACTACACAGCAAAAAAGGAATATTGCCTGCATCTTAAAAAGTTATTAACAGGAAGAAATAAGATGTGATGATAACTTATTAAGATTTTTCTCAGAAAGTCAATCATCAAAAATTTAATGGTTTTCGCTTCGTTAATCATCATAGCAACCAGCTGGAATGGTCGTCATAAAAAACACTATATAACATTAAAATGGGTTAATTATGTCTAATATTAAAAAAGAGTTCAACAATGAAATGTTTGTAAATTATTACAAACTTTGTAAAATTTCACTTTCAAGGCCAATAAGCTCAACATCTTGTAAGAGTAGCATGACTCAAAATAGTTTAATTGCGACAGCCATAGAAGTTGAATCTATTCTCCAAGTTTTTATTGAGCGTCACCAGAATAGAAAAATGCTATCATTTTAAAATCTCCAAAAATCGGAGATCAGACATACACGATTGCGAGTCACAGTGTCGTACAGAAAAATCTGATTTTATAATTAGAGATGGGATTTTAGTCTTATTACCTATTTGTCTACGATAATCATAACTTTAAGTGTAATCGAATAAAATCCGTTTTAAAAATATTCTATCATTGAGTCTAATTTTATTTCTTAGTTTTCAGTTCTTAATTTTCAGAAAAATTGACTTTTTTAAATTTTACTACCTACCTAAAATAGTGATGATTTTACCTATTTTACCTAGATTCAATAAAGCAAATATTAAAATTTTAATATCAAAAACCATATCACAGATAGATATATGTCAAAAACATGTTTTTATTCACTATGTAGTTATTTTTATTTTGCAGTTGCTTTTCTATGATTTCGGTTGTAATATCATATATATATATATATATATATATCATGTATATATATGTTGTAATATCGTATATATACGTATATCGTATATATACGGGTGATATTTAAATTTGATTGTTACAAAGAGGATTGTTATTGGATTGAGAACCGTACATAAAAACTATACCTAAAACGAAAAAGAAACCTGAGTTTTTGAAAAAGTGGCTTACAGGTAAATTTCTTAAGTGGCAACTATAGTTATTTTTTAAGAAATATTTATGATTCCCATTTGTATACCTATCGTTTAAAATAAAAATTATTTTTATTAAATTATAGATCGTTTGAGTACAAGGTTCTCATAATTTATAACACGAAATAAGCAAAAAAAAAATAGAAAGCTGTTGGAGAAAAAATCCAGTACGCAGCTTCAAATTAAAGAATGTGAGGGCCAATCTGAGAAAAAGGCATCTTGTGATGTGGAGCGTTCATGACAAGCGATATAATTTAAAATATAGAAAAAATATAAGTTTGTTACAGTCACCAGAATAAAACAAATAAATAATTGTATCTAGTACCATGGGCGCCGGAAGGAATTCGTCTAGGGGGGGGCCTTAAAGTTTTTTACAATTTTGATAGATGTTATTTATAATCAAGTTGTAGGTACTGTAGAAGTTCACATTAAACTTAAGTCAAATATAATATCATCTTTATACAGGGTGTCCCAAAAGTCAACGAGATCCTTTGGAGGACTGAAAGACCAACTCATGACAAAGCAGAAAATCAAAATATGACCTTAGTAAAAAATCGTTAGTTTTTGACATTTTATGAATTTTGTAAAACTTGACACCTTAGATTAGTTTTTCGAGTGCCACAGCTACAAAATCTGCTATTAATTTAATTTTGAATTTTAATTAATAGCAGTCCTATTCAGGGTTTTTGTGTCAAGTTTCACAAAATTCATAAAAATGCCAATATCTTAAAAACTAATGATTTTTTACCAAGGTCATGTTTTGATATTCTGATTAGTCATGAGCTGACCTATGAGTCCTTCAAAGGATATCGTTGACTTTTGGGACACCCTGTATGTATATTTGTAAATTTTACACAATTATTAGCACCATCTGTTTATCAATTCACTAGGCTTATGAAGAAATCTCTTCTATAGTCGACTTTTTCAACATATATTGTTCGTATATAGAAATATGTTAGCCAAGAACGTGTCTTACTCAGGGATGGGCAAGATCCGGCAAAAAGGATTTAAATCTAAATCCATAAATCCACACCATAAACCATAAACTGGATCTAAATCCTCAATCATAAATCCATTACGTTATCTGGATTTAAATCATAAATCCTAAATCCACTTGCAAAAAAAGATTTAAATCCTGAATCCATAAATAAATCCTCTATTTTTTTAATATTTATTTCAATAATTTTCCAAGAACAGTTTCCGGATTATTTCAATTTTTAAGTTTTATTTAAGCTAAAACCCCTTGGATTCCAAATCATAATTGATATGAACCTTATTGCACGTATATATACGTGCGTATACGTGCAATAAGGTTCATATCAATTTTATAAGATTCCATCGAAGATCTTTGGAATATGAACATAATGATCTGTGGCTTCTGGTTTCTTCGCCATAGGATTATGAACGGAATCAGTAAACTGTGCTCCTGATTTCTTTGAACATCCAGCCATTTCATTCATTTTACTACTGTAACAACACTAGTGTTCATTAAGACGGCACAAATCTTAAATTATCTAAGATAACAAATCTAATTTATCTAAAAAATAATGAACAAATGATAACGATCAGCACTTACCGTCAAATTATGAAGTACCGGAATTTCTGGGTATGAATTTCCAGGGGGGGGGAGGGCCCCCCCTGCCCCTATGTAGCGGCGCCCATGTCTAGTACCTATATTATATTATTTTTGAGACTGTAACAAACTAACATTAGGTGCAATTTTGTAATCATGACTCATGACACATAAGTTAACTCATGGTTCATGAGTTACCTTATATTAAAATAATGTTTAAAATAAAATTTTATAAAATAATAATTTTATTACCTAAAATTTGCTTTTTAAAACCTATTTTTTTAAAGTAAGTAGGTACCTAATTAAGAAATGTTCCCACCTAAAACAAGAAAAAACCTTCCCTATTTAGGTACCTTTTTTCAAAATTTTGCAACCTAAAATTCCATCTTAATTTTTGTTTAGTACAAACTTCCAAATTCTACATTTTAAATTAAATAAATATGTACTATAAAGATTTTTATCACATAATAATCGAAAATATTTGGGTCCTGCACCCCCGATTTGGGTGTCTAACTGCGCCTATGCCTAGAACTCTACAAAAGTTGTTAGCTCCCCTGTGATAAACAAAAAAATTCATTTTGTCGACCATGGTCACTGCAGTATTATTAAAATGCTTTTCGATAACATTAATAATGAATTTGAATTTAAAACAAATACGCCAGCTGAGGCGAAAGGACACAACAACAGCAACAACAACGGCTGTAGGAGCAACAACAAACGCGAAGGCCGATAAACATCTCAGTTAGCTCACCGTAGCCGTGGCATGGCATTTTATTCCCGTGCGATAATTCAGTCCGCGAATTGTTAGAATTAAAGAATGCACAGGCTCTCCATTCTGTTGCCATTAGGCGGCCGTGATATGTGGCCACGTGATTCAGAATCAACCACAACAAATACTTGACAACGGGCCGTTTTTTATGCCTCCACCAGCAATCTGCGCGAAACGCGCCACAAGCAAAAAAACTCTTTTAAAGCATTTTCTGTGTAAAATGTTGCTTGTAAAAGGCGAACAAACGATTTATCGGCGCGCCTGTTTTGGTTAATCTGGATAACAGAAAACAATCGATCTACAATAGCTGTGTATATCAACGTCGACGTGGTTTATTGAGTGGTAAAAGTGTTCACCAATAGAAAAACTTTTAACTTTTAACGCCAATGCTAAAGCAAATAAAATAACATTTCTACCCGATGTAAACAACTCTTTAAAAACAAATAAAACTGTTTTACATAACATAAACAATTTATACGTCCTAATACACCTTACAAATGTAATAGAATGCATTTTTGAACAATACAACTGATTTACACAGTACAAAAATATTTGTTAACTTTAACCAAATATTAACCAGATTTTATAATAACTTTATGTTAAGTTTACAACTAACTGTAATATGTTAACTAATTGAATAATAATAATTATAACAAACATTTTATAGATTTAATAATCAAATCCTTTATCAATATTTCAACCATAATTCTTGTAATTTTCAAAAAGGACCTTATTTTTACAAACCTTTTTGTAGACCCAGTAACATTTCCATAGCAGTCCTGTTGCAGTCAATAAATTCATCAATATGCAAGAACAACTAAGGCCTGGACAAAAACCTTTAAAACTTAAAATGGACGTAATAACGTATTGGAAGAGTACTTTGGATATGCTGGAAAGAGTGGTAAGCCTGCAAGAATCTCTGGAGGCTCCAGAAATTGTAAAAATTTTAAAACCTTTTAAACATTTGACAGAGGAAATGTCATCTCAAAAAGAGGTAACTATTTCAAAAGTTTTGGCCGGCAACATTGGTGTTATTCAAGTATTGTCCAATATCGGTAAACACTCACTCAAGAAGCATCAAAAAGACTGCTGGATAAGTTGACTTCAGAATTTAATGCAAGATTTAAAAATAGTTCGCGATATCCTTTACTAGCAAAAGCTCCACTACTTCATCCCAAATTTAAGAGGCAAACATTTTTTGACGATTCTTCCTATGACCAAGCCAAAAATTCTTTGAAGAAGGAGATAAAACAAATTACATGGGCACCACTAGCTTCAGTAGCATTGGAATAAGGATAATCAAAATACGCATAATGCTGCGTTTGAAGATGAGAAAGATGATCTTTGGAGGGATTTTGACGTAAGCACTATTACAGTGTCTACCGTTGCTACTGGAATCATCACCATGAGACAGTACAAAAAGTTATTATATCCTGAACTGGCAGGCTTAGCAAAAAAATATTTATGTGTGATGTCTACATCGGTAACGTCGGAAAGAACCTTTTTAAAATCTGGTATTATATTATCGGAAAGACGTTTCTTACTTAAACCAAAACGAATGGAAAAAAAATTGTTTCTTTAAGTAAATCAAAGGTTTTTTCCAAATAAATGTGCAATATATTTTATATAAATATGGATGTATTATCGTTATGTTTAGAAACTTATTTTTGTGTTAATTTTTCTTATAAAAAAAGATTTGTGTTGATTAGGTATAGTGTTTTATTTTTGCAATAAAATAAAAAAATTGTATCCAAAATCGGCAGTAAAGTAAAAGAAATCGGAGGTAAAGTAGAACTTTACTGCCGATTTAATACGAGTACTGTATGCAACCCATTATACATTTTAAGATGTATTTACTGCTCCTCAGCAGAAACTAAATAATATTTAAAAAAAAAGCACCGTCGCGGAGGTCGAAAAAATGGTTAATAAAAATAATAAGTTAATTTTATTAATTAGATTAAAAAATCGACGCGGCGGGCAAATTTATAATAACCGTCGCAACAAACAGTATACGTAGACACTTCCTACATTCAAATGACATTTGATTTGATCATCAAATGACATTTAATTTAATCATATATTATATCAGGAGAACTATGAATTTAATCGGGTAAACTAGGCTCAGTAGTTTTTTGTTTGGTTTTTGTTGGAAAATGTTGAATGCAAAATAATTTAATAAAATCACGAGACCGCGTAGCGTATAATAAAAATGTATATTTTCTTTAAGCAGCAGCTACATGAATACATATATAATAATAATAATAATAATCGTTTATTAATCCAACTAACAAATGCCCATACAAAGGGTATAAATAATTACAACCAAATAAATACAGTGTTAAAAAAATTAGGGTACTTTTAAGATAAGGCTCTTATTCTTCTAATATATTGATTTAAAGGTAAATTAAAAATATTACGATTCTCTTCAATCGGATTGTAACTCCGGCACATTGAATTTATAGGAGAATTATTTCGTTCATTGGTATTTGCAGCTTCTAGATAGAAAGCTTGGTGATACCTAAAATTTAGTTTTGGAATATGAAATTTTATTTTTAAGAGAATATCGGGGTGGACTATTTTATGTAGATAAATCAAGCGAGCATTTCTTCTACGTATGTACAAACTTTCTATGTCAAAGAACATTAAAGCACCAACCTAATCAAAATTAAAAACGGGGTAATGTCCATAGACTAGGTAACAGTGATATCTACAAAACTTTCTTTGAATTTTTTCAATATTATCAATATGAATGTCATAAAATGGTGACCAAATGACGCAGGCATATTCAAATTTACTACGAATATAAGCGTTATATAGAATTTTCAAAGTATCTAGGTTTTTAAATTCTTTGGTGTTACATACCACAAATCCTATTAGGATTATCCTAACATTTTGTTAGCTTCTACATTTCTTAAGGTTTCATTATTTATTTTATAATTAAAAACAATAATATTATTTTTTTTAGAAAACCTCATATGTACGTATACGTACATGTATACGATTTCAAATAAGTAATAATTAAACCAAACCCTAACCAGCTTAATAGGAAGACTCGTATTTCGTATTATAGTAAAGAGTAACGAATACCTTTTAACGAATAGTCACATTCAAAGTACGAATACATGCGGGTATTGTTTTTTTTTCGTTACTTTTACATCTATCTTCTAAAAAACCAAAAGGTCAACATCCCCTCTGGGCGTATAGCGCAGCCCGGCGCACTAAAAACATCGGCATGTCGCATACGAACCACAAAAAGGGTACCGTGCAATTTGTAATGACTTGTTCTACAATATCTTTGCTTTATTTAATGGCCACCCCAATTTAAAAACGTAAGTTATGGATATACAATAACTCGATCTGTTAAATTTCGAATTAATTTTGTATATCTGCAAAAATGCCGCATTATACGTAAACGTTTTCAGAATAAAGACGTCTCGTAGCAAAGCAGAAAGTCCGGACCGGGACAGCGCGACGTTTCGAGACAAATCGATACAAGTCGCCTGATGGGGAGTGACCCGAGTGATTGACTGACTGACAGGTGCAATGAAGACCGTTTCAGCGTTCCGTCCGCGCTTGTTACTGCCGTTCTCCATCGCAGCAGGACTCTTCTTCGTCTTTCAGTCGGCGCCTATGCAGCGCGCTTGCAGGAACGCAGCCAAGCTATGCACCTACAACATTTAATTTCGGTTAAATGTTAGCAAGCAGATAAAAAATAATCTGTATTTCTAAATAACATAACAGACCAAATGTATAATAAACCTAAAAAGAGCAATGGTGTTCAAATTTAACCATTAACCGATGTTGAGAAATGCGTTTCAATTATTAATGAGTTATTTTCCATCGAATAACAAATATTTACTTTAAAAACTCATTTAAATATTCTTAGACTTGAAATTTGATAAGGTATACCTTATACCAATATTTTCCTTGTAACGAAACGACTGAATCTGAAAAAAGTTGCTGTAAATGGAGTTAGATAAAGGACAATGACAAAAAATTATTAAGGATATGCCCAGAACATGTGGTTTCAACAGGACGGTGTCACAAAGATTTCAATTATGACGACCTTACCATAAACTACACAGTAAACAAATATTTGTTAATTTTAACCAAATTTTTACCAGATTTTATGTTAATCCGGGTCCACATAACTTTATGTTAAGTTTACAACCAACTGCAGTTACATGTAATCTGTTAACTAATGGAATAAGTAGTTTGTAATATTAACATTCATTTTGTAGATTTAGTAACAAAATCCTGTCAATAATTCAACCATATTTTTGTATTTTTTTTAAAAGGACCTTATTTTTACAAACCTTTTTGTAGACCCAGTAACAAAAGTATTTTTTTGAAAATAAAAAGCATTTTAATGTTGCTTTATAAATTAATTTCCTAAAAAAAATTAACACATACATACCTACATAAATGAACACAAAAATAACATACACACGCTAAAAGAAATGTTTTACTCTTTATTAGTAAACCGTTAGTTTTATTTAGTTTAGTTTATGAGGTGTGTTCAGAAAATATCGGGAATTTTCGTTTTTTGAAAGAAATATTTATTTATTCGTCTACATTAATGTTGTCGCCTTCAAAATAGTCCCCATTGGATATTATGCACATGTGCCAGCTCTTCTTCCAATACTAGGAACACTTCTTTGGGACGGCCCTTTAAGGTTCTCCATATTTTTGGGAATAGGAAAAAGTCAGACAGAGGCATGTCTGGCAAATATGGAGGCTGGGGCATCATTACAGTATTGTTTTTGGGTAAAAATGTTGTTCAAAATTTAACAATCTTAGAACAAATTTTGCTGCCAAAACATTCGAAAAAATTTCATGGGATGAGCCAATAGATATACCAACATCATCAGCGACTTCTCTGATGGTTTATAACCATTTCTTCCAATTTTTCCATATTTTTATCGGTTGTTAATGTGTTTGTGCGTTCGGGGTGTTCGTCATCTTCAACGTCTTCATGGCCATCTTAGAAACTCATATACCACTTGTAAACTCTTGTTTTACTTATAGCAAACTCCCTATATGCCTTTATTAACATTTCACAGAATTTAATTCATTTTATAAGCAAAATTGGATACAAATTCTTTTATCCATTTCTTTTAACGAACGAAAAATCGCCGAGCTCATAAAACACGTCTAACCTTAGCGGCTGCCATAGACAAAGTAAACAATGAAAACAGCTAAAGTTTTTCTCATGCTTCGGGGGCATAACATAATAAAGAAAATTTTATTTTCTGAACACACCTCGTATATTACTTATTGGTAGAAAATATTTCATATTTGATAACATTTCGCGAAAAAGAATGACGATAAAAAACCAAAGCATTTGGTTAGACATATTTGGTATCCTTTAGAATATGTTTGGTATTAAAAATCATATTTGGTTCAGATCAGCAAAGATTATAAGTTTGTTATGATATACCTACCAAAGAACTATTTAGCATCAAGTTTGCCAACCCAAATCTTTCGGTTGGCGCATTATCTTGGGGGTATACGTATCATTTATTGCTGTTTGTGTATTGTGGTTGTTGCAGACCAATGCGTGCCAATCAGTATTAAGTTTTTGTGCAGTAAAAACAACAAAAATTTAAAAATTCCTACGTGAAAAAGGTCTATTGGACCTATTGTCACATTTTGAAGAAAAGATTTCAACATATTATTATTATAATTGCAAGTTTCAATGATTTAATGATTATACATGGTAATTGCGTATTACGCCATTGCATCTCATCGATAGTTCTAGTTATTGAAGTTTTTCTTCGAAAATACAGTGTTGGCCATATTTTTTGGAACCACTGTAAAAAAAATCTAACTCTAACCCGCCTTTATTATTCTTTATAAAATTTTGGATAAAAATACTTCAACTTATATCTCAGTTTACGTGTTCGAGGGTTTTTCGAGAAAATATTTTGAAAGCCCCTTTATTTAATAATGAGAAAACGTTCGAAAAATAACTTTTAGGGTAATTCTAAATAAAATTGTAAATTAAAAATATGGTTTTAAAGACCGTATTTTTGTACAAATTAAACGAACAGTAACGAAGATACAGCGCTTCAAAGTCGGTAAAAATGGCCCCTTTTTGATTATTTTGCTCAAAAGTGGTCATTTTTGACGACTTTGAACCGCTGTATCTTTGTTGCTGTTCATTTGATTTGTACAAAATTTTCAGGGTATACAAAAATACGGTCTTAAACAGCATATTTTTTATTTACTTAAAAACAATTTTCCTAAAAGTTTTTTCGAACGTTTTTCATTATTAAATAAAAGGGCTTTAA